ATTGTGAAGGATGTTTGCATTTATGAGAAAACTGCATGGCAGGTACTGAAGAGAAAAAAGGATAAAAAGATAACACTTTTTTTTTTGTTTTTGTTTTTGTAAGAAGAGCTTTTTCTCTGATCCTCATATGCCAAAAGCCGGGGTGTTTTTCCTTTCTTTTCTGCCTAACTTAGCTCCTTGTCTGGAAATTAAGCAACAAGACTCTACATACAGAATAACATTTTGACTTCCTAAGGAAATACCACTGAAACACTTAGTACTGTTTGATATCTCTCTTGGGAAAGCAAAACACATTTATTAAATCATGCATGCTAACTCCAAAAGCCAACAGAAGGAAATAACTGCTTTATTCTTTGCACTGCGGTTTTGTACAAACAGCTACTGTCATGGATTGCTATGCACTGATCCTTCTTTGCTTATGCAGCTTAAAGGATGTTCAGGTAATATCACCAATACTAAATTTTGCAATCTATCCCTCACATTCCAGTTCTATCACATACTTGTACAAATTACCTACTGCCATGCTATTAAAAAAAAAAGCTCTGATTTCAAATGTTTCAGATTTCCCTAGGTAATTATATGCTAATTTCCAGAATACACTTCACCTAATTTTAGTACTGCATGATGATGAAACAGATGATCTTTACAAACGCTTCTATGCAACCAGAGAGGTTTTGTTTTGTTTATCTTATTTCTATAGAACAACAAAATTGGTTACGTGGCTGGGCTTTGAGAGATCTCCACACGCATTGAGCATACCTGGTTTCAGCTGCCAGCTTCAAACTCTTGATCTTACTCATTTTCTGAAGTGGAATATGAAAGGCCACATCACTCCTGGCACATATTATCAGTCATGCTTTACAGCACGACTTGCCTTAGCTATGGCAACCTTCTGGACTCAAGGCAATCCTCAGATGTGTGCACTGATTGCCATCAACAAACTGTCTCACCTCCAAGGACTCGCATGGAGTAGCCAAAAACGAAGAACAGGATTATCAAAGATTGATGGCCACTGGGAATTGGAGATTTCAGAGGGATTAATTTCTGCCAATTCCAGACACCTATGTCCCCAACTACCTGGTTCTCTAAATTCAACCTTCTTTCCCAGATCTTACAAGAAGATAGAGACAGACACTAAGCCACAAGGAACAGCAAGCACAGATCGGCTGGACTGTGGGGCCAGAGAACCTATAGTGCCAGATTAAATATGAGATTTTCAACTGCCTGAGAAGTTTGTTTCAACACTTCATATGATGAGTAGGAAGGTGCAAAAAAAATCTCTTTCTCTTCTGCAGAGAGAGTGGAAGGAAGACATTAACGTTCAAATGTATAACAACATTCTACATGGCACTGTGAACTAATGCATTATTACTTCAACTGAAAATACGTGCAATTTTTTTTTGGTACTTCCCTGCCCCCCCCCCCCAATTTCAGTATTGTCTCTTGCAGCATTTTTTTTTTTAATACGTTATTTAGAATATTCCAGTACTAAACTCTACCATTACTGAGATTATTATAATATCACAAAAAGGAGGTAGGTAGGAGCAATGGCAAAAGCATACCAACTGAACTAGAAGCGGGAAAAGAAGTGGCACGTTTACTCCCCACTTCCTCAGACACACTGTAATTTCCCAGAGGACAACACAGTATCTGAGGAATTACAGTCAGTGATCCTGAGAGTTAAGAGTTCAAATTTTAAATTGATAGCATGAATTCTGGCTTCAGACACAGAAATTTTTGAAAAATTTCCATCATGATAGGTGCACACATACAGAGAGAGAAAGAACAGAAGTGACATTCTAGGCATTACTAAAAAAGCAAATATAAACTTATTTCATACTGACTTCAACAGATACAGATGGGGACTGAAATGAATATGACAAGACATCCTCACCCCCTTTTTATTATACTAATGGCCTGCATATAATGACACACTTCCAAGAAATCTGGCAATAAACTTTCAGGACTTAATACCCATCAATTACATTTTAATTCAAAACAAGCAACAGCAAGACAGACTATTCCACACATCTATCTATGAGTGGAATGAGGAGGAATGCACACTTCCTAACGTGAAATATTTAATGGTGGTGTATCTTACGCTCTCCAAAGGAACTCAACGTGTAACACTGAGGTAAAAACAACAACAATCTCTACAGTTGTTTAAGTAAAATTTCAACCCTTGAAGTCTTCGTTACAGTAAAAAGAAAAAAAAAAAAAGAAAAAAAAGGAAGCAAAAGGTCCTCTGCTCTGTATAACTGTATTTCTGATTTGACAGCTACAATTATAATCATTCAGACATCTATTTCCCACAAACTCTCCACAGCCATAACCTTTAGTGATTAATTATAAAGTTCCAGGAGCAATAGTACACAGACTAATTTCCTAAAACAATAAAAGACAGAATTTCTCATTTGGAGCTAAATGAAACACGAACAGGTTGTTATTCATGCTGAAATCTAGATGCAGAGTCATGTTGCAGCCATTACAGAAGCTATTAAACACAACCTCAAATCAAAGAAACTGTAGGTCGCTCTCCTAAAATAAAATGTTTTTCTCACTTATGAGGCTTCTGAGTCCTTTGCTCTGTTCCTTTTTACCTCTTCCTAGTAAAAAAATTTCAAAATTCAATTTTCTTCCTCATTTTGCATCACCATTTTGTTTGTAATAGTCATTTAAACTGTAAGAGTCTAGAGCAAAACAAACATTTGGTAAAGGTTTCATGCACACAGAATTACCATGGTGTACATGTATCAACTTCTAAACAAAATGCCAACTCCCTTCGTGCCCCACCTCAGCCTCCAGTGAGTCTTCTATGGTGAATATTTGATAATTCCTCAGTTAACCATACCTTTCACTATACAAGGTAAGTTTCACTTTCTGTTCAATTTGGTTTTCCTTTCTGATACTTCCTGCTGTACCTGCTTAATGTACACCTTTAAAAAAAATGTTACTCCAATAAAGACAGAAGCCATGCATTACAAAACCAATCCTAATGCTGGCATTGCAGATACTAAAAAGAGGGGAAATTGTGATTTTTAACATGATTAGTAGTAGGTTTTTTTCTTAAGGACTTATTTCTCTGTCTGCAAGCAACATTGGCACTCAATCCAGGAAATTTGCCCTCAGCAATTTTACTGAATTAGACAATCAGAAGAGGACAGAATTGAGAAAAGATCTTTACATAACTGACACCATATCCTTATCCTTGGGCCCCACTGTAACCAGCTAAAGTCAGTGGGAATTTTCCCACATATTTAAATTAGTATTGAGTCAGTTGTAGAACTCATTGACTTGCTAAACCATAGAGAGCTTTCATTCAATATGCATACTCTTGACGTATTGTTGAAAGGCTGGTATGATAGTCCCCCCAAAAAGCTTGTCAACAAGGTGCCTAAAATATTAATACACTGTAGACTATCCCCATAAAAAGTATATAAGATTTGCCATATCAGGTCACACATGAAACCATGAACATTCCAATTAGCAAGCTTTTGTGCAGCAGCTCTAAAAAACCCTAATGCTAACCCTACATCTTTTCTGTATGAAACTTCCTTGTTTTTCTGTAGGAATTCTATCTTCAGTCATATTTCTTAGCATTCAGTGAAACTTTATAATTCATTTTGAACTATATACAGACCATAAGAGTTACACAAACTATATATGCTTTTTCAGTGCTTTTTTTCTGAATTCAGTATGCACTAATTGATTAGGGTCTGAGAGGTGAATAAGAAATACATACCCTACATAATAAAAAGCTGTGGAAGGGTTTAACGCATGAATTAGAAGCCAGATTTCTTCAATACAGATGAGTACACAAAATTAGCAAAAGGCAATACCACTTTTGGAAAGACTGCTTTGTGCATAATTTGTCATGAATTCAAAGTTATTCCTTCAGAAAATGAGTCTACGACCTCCCAGCTGCTGCTTTATTGGTCTAATAAATTACCATTTTGATGGTACAATGCATATACACTATATACCATCCAAGCAAGCAAACTGTTAGAGCAGCTTCATCTGTAGAGACGCATGTGTGACTTCAGAGACATGTGAATGCCGATGGGAGATCTGAATGCAATGAGGGATCAGACAATGCCTCTGTTCTTGAATTGATAATGAAAACAAAGGATGTGTGAGTTTCCAAAACAGGAAGAGTGTACTGTGGGATTGCTTGTGTCAAAAAAAGTGAGTCCAAGTGAACCTGCCCTTATTCTAATAGGTATCTAGCAGCTTTCGGAGACAAAACAGATCTATCTTATTCTAGGGTCTCTACACTATCCCAGTAAAAGTCTCCTCTATTTCCCTGAAAAGAACACTAGAATAAACAAAGAAGATATCCTCTTCAAAGGATCCATTTCTGACTTAAACTTTGAGCTATTCTTGTGGAGCTGGGGAGTTTAGTTCAAGTTTATACTAATGCTTCTAGTAGTATAGACTGAACATGTGTCAGTGCCTTCTACCCAAGGTTATTCCAGCCAAGCAGGCCATAACAAACATTTATCATGACTCTCCTTCATAGCTGTGGTTTGCAAATATCTACTCAAGGAAAGAACACAATGCAGAAAAGCCAGAAAGTTGGTGATTTAGCATTCCCTACTTTACCTTTCTCCAGTGAACTGTGAACTTATTATGAGTTCCAACAACCTGACGTTTTGGAAACTTTCCATCATTTACAGGAAAACTCTAGGCTCACTGTATTATTGCCAATAGAGAATTTTTTTATTACTACAAATATATTTAGGGAACAGTTTAAAATGTCTGTATTCTAACATCATGAAAACAATCCTTCACCAATATTTTTCAAAAAAGTAGTGAAGATGGCTGTTAGGAGGAACACTGGAAGAATACTGCAGGAATGGGTGCAGTAATTTTGACTGGCAGAGCAAAGCTTACAAAATAAAAGAGCACAAGCATTTGAGATAGATTTTTGGTTTTGTTTCCCACGCACAAAAACAGGTGTTAAGAGCTCCCCTACAGGTAACATGCACAGCATTACTTACCTGCATTAGAATTGAGCTCTTCATTTTCTGATTCTGTTCCATTTTGACTTCCACTTCCGTGAAGGCTATTCATTGCCATAAGTTTCATTTTCTGTAACTTCATAGCCTCTGCCATGGCAGCTGCTGTCAGACCTGGAAGAAGATAAATAAATAAAATGCAATAACATACCACACAATGCAGCACTGTAAAATGTGAAGAAGAAAACAACTCCTTTCAGTGAGAATAAGTCACACAAATTCGATACACATTCCTAGTCCAGTTATGTAATGTTATTCTGAATAGTATTTTAAACTCGAGTTGTCTCAGTACACAATTCTGCAAATTATTTTTTTTAATTCTTTCATGTTTCTTTTTTTTTCATTTTTTACATGTATAGCATAAAGAAATATTTATTTAATGGTATCACTTTCCATTATACTTTTAAATATCATTTCCTGTCACTTTGATCATTTTGTTACTTTGATCCCTTTCTGCTTGACTTATTTAGCTTCTACAAAATTTCCAAGTACACTAGTAAGATACAGTATTCCTTAATTTCAACAGTTTGAAGCCAATTAACATGGAACAACCAATGCTGTACTATTATATTACATATGCAAATATTATTTTGTCTTTTTCTGAAGTCAGTTGGTTTGGATTAACTTTATTGCTACTGGAAAAAAACATTGGAAATATTGGAAAAGTACAATATCGGAAATTACAAACTTGATCCCACCTTTATGAAACCATTAAGAACAGCACAAATTTACAGAATTAAGGGGGATTAGTGGTAGAAGATTTTCAATTTCCTAATTTCCATTAGTAAAAGAGAAGTAGAGCAGTTTCAGGCTACAGGTTACCAGCATTACCGTAATTGTTTAATTATTATTTAGATTCCCAATATCTGTTTTTCATAAGAGTAAACTTTTTAAGTTTTAACCTTTTGACTTGGTCAGTAACAGATCAGCTTTTCTTCCTGACAGTATCAAATTACTATTACTCTGGGCAAGATGTGACTGAAAATGTCATATCTGAAGTTCATTATCTCACAGGAAAATACGGGGCATAAGGCTACGTAACCAAAAAAGATTTCTACAGGTATAATTGTTTATTTATTCAGTTATGGTTTAAATGGGTTTACTGTCTTCCTCCCAGTATAATAGGACTTGCTTTTGTCACTTGCTAAAAAGCAAGTTAAATGCTTCCTATTGGCTATCTTGTAATTGACTGTTCGTAGTTCCACAAAATCACTGAGCTGCATTTACCAATAAACCCCATTATTGTTTGTTGGTCGTGCATGTTGTATCAACCCACAAAGATATCATACATCAAAACGGAATTAAATAATCTGCTGTTTCTGGAAAGTACTGCTTACTGAGGAGATTAGATACTGATTAAAGTGAACTACTAATTTTCATATTCTATACAGCCACACATCCATAAATTAAAATACTATCTTTGAAAAGCTGCTATGAATTTGACATTTAGATTAGCTCTGCTGCTGCTAGAATAGGCTTCACAAAAGTTCTCATTATTTTAATATTACTTAAGTAAGCAAGCAATCAATACACTCCAAGTGCGTGGAGGAGGGACATGTATTATCACATATGGATACAGCAATTCGGTTAACTTCAGTGAAGATATCCCTGATAAATATCAGTTAGTTGGAGGTGACACATTACAAGATGGGAGTTACACAAGCCCTCTTCTCTTTAGGTCGCCTGTCCTCCTCCTTCCACCTTGCCTAAGAGTCTTTCAACATTCACAAAAACAAACTGCAGTTACACACTCCTATAATCCCAAAGCACTGATACCAGATCTAATAAATACCACATACACAAATTAGGCACTTGTTTTACCGTTTCGTCACTGATACATGAAAAACTATATTGACTTCATTATTAATATACACTAAATACATACCTATAAAAATAAGTCCAGAAAATATCATCAACAATCTTGACTTTTAGGTCATTTAATGCAGTTCTCACTTCATACAGAAGATCACTATACCTTAACATTACAAATTTTTTCTTTAATCTTTTTTTTTTTCCTAACACACTTTAAAGTTCTTTTGCAAATGCCACTTTTTTTTTTCTTTTCAAGCAGATATAAATTCTTGATGTTAAAAATAATGTTTTTACTAAATTGTTTGGCTGACATCACTCACACTTAATCCATCAAAGAATGCTGCTTAAATGATAAAACTGTTCACACACTTTCTGAAAAAGATGAAATAGTCTATAAACTCTTCCACTTTTTTTCTAGGGAAAGGAAGTGGGATTGCTCTTTGAGTGAATTTCACATTATTTTCAGGAAGTTCAAAAAACAAGCATCAGCACAAGTCTTTTGAGGAATTTACTGTTTTCAAAATTTCCAGGAACCTCTGTGATTTGCCTATCTGGACATCTGTACTTTCCTCCACATCCCAACCAATTCCAAGTTTTGAGGAACAGCCATCACTAAAGCATTTTCAGAACTTGTACCCACTCACAGCCTACTCTCTTCTCATGTCTAATCCATTTCCCTTCACATTTATTTTAAAGGTTACAAAAAATACAGTCTGAATATGGAGGTTTTTATCATAATATTTTATCATTTGTATGTACCCAAATACATATAGATGAATCAATATCCCAGTAAATATTTTCATCTGGTTCAGTATTTATACAGGTTCTTGATTCTGTAAGTCATAAAACTTTACTTAGTTTAAATATCCAAAAGAGTAAAGAAACTATTCATAAGGAAATAAACAGGGAATGGAAAGCGAATTCAGACCTTTAGTAAAATGTTCAGTTTAAAGACAAGGGTATAAAAAGAAAAAGCACACACACACCCCCAACCCCAAACTTCTACTGAACAGTTGTATCAGAAGTGTAATGAAGGCAGAAAGGGTATCGAGGAACAAACAGAAAAGAATAAACAGTCCCAAAATCACCACGATGCAGCCTGCAGAAATTAAAGGTAATTATTGTCAGGCATTTTTGAGCTCCCTAACCAGACACAGCTGCCATAAGGACAACAGCCAAAAAACAGTGATGTATCAGAAATCTATGCTGTGCCATCTGCCACTCCAAAGTCACTCTACTTCAGCATTAAAAGTTTAAAGAGTAAAGCACAGTCCTGATGTAGAAAGCACTACAGCCTGAAGATCCTGAGCAGTCAGGCATAAACTTGAAGCAAACGTAGCCAATACTCTAAGATCAGTATAAGCAGAGTCTTTATACTTTCATTCATTTATTCCGCAGTCTGTATAATTTCTTACTTGAATTGTGGTAGCAGTAAAAGCCCCAGAATCCGACTGTATGAGGCACTTTAAAAAACAGTGTAATAATTCTTCAGCATGTCTGAAAACTAATAAAATGGAGGTTAAAGCAAATAGTTTCAGCAGTAAGGGTGCGCTACTGAGTGAAATGATGGAAGAAAACATACAGCAAATCACCCACTGGCATAATCTTCAATTAAGGGTACTGCCGCGGCTAACGTTACAGAAGTTACTATTTAATTTAACCATTAATAAAACTCCTTTCTATAATTGACTCGGCTCTGGCTAGCTGTGGCAAGGAGCACTATTCTTCAACTGACTTATCTAAAGATCTACAAAGAACTGAGGAATCATTTCCATCTTCTCGGATGAATCATTATCAGTGGCAGAATCTCATCTAGAGTACCCTGCTTTGAAAAATGTACTTAAAAACTGCTGTAACATAGGCACCTATCCCTCTACTTTCACCTTAAAAAAAAAAAGGATCGCTAGGAAAACCAACATCCTGGATTACATACTTCAAAGCTTCCGTTTTTTTCCTCTCCATTTGCACTTTAAAATTTCCCTTCCTTCAGTTATCTTCTGCCAGCTGTGATCAATCACTAAACACCCAGAAAATAAACTATGTATCCCTTATTAGCAAACGCGTACAACATTTACAATACTAACAACCACAACAAAAAAGCAGCAGTCTCATCACAGTTGCAATGATTTGTTTTCAAAACTGCTACCAACCATGTGGCCGGTGGGCTAACAGTAGCCCACAACCCATCCGTCGCCTTGGATGAAAGGCAGCAGCTCCTAGAGGAGCTGGTAGGGATCTTTAAGACACATCAGCATTAATGCAGAAATCTCAGAGCCATGTTCTGGGTCAGCTCTCTATATATGAATCTTGATTACAATTGCATAACAGATTGTGATGGTGTGCACTCAGGTACACCTGCATCGTGCATATGGCAAAACAACCAACTGCCATTAGTAATCTTCATTCCGTAATTTCAGTTTTGTCAGGACACTGTGTACTCTCCCCTTTGACAAGTCTGCATAGCTCTGCTGTACAACACATGAATTTAGCCCTGAAATAACCCTTCAAGGACACACAAACCGGCACACTTTATGCTCATGTTGCATGGAAGTAAAATTCTCCAATTATATTCTGAACCACAGTTAAAATATACCTAAGTACCAAACAGTTTTTAAATTAAGGTTTTTGTTTCAAATTAGGACCATACTCATCTTACTCAGCATGGCACATCACATTGCTCTGGGGAAGACCCGCCACTTGTGGGGCACTGAAGATGAAACAGACAGACCTGAATGTACTGTGAAGCTGGGCTGCTTCTGTGGGGGTTGGAACCACTGAACACGTCCTCTGCTTCTAAAGCCAAGGTACCTGCAGTACTTGAGAGGGTGTGAAGGTTTCTCTGTCCCTTGTCTGCATCCTATTAAAGTTAGTGGTTAATTTTTTACTCAAATATCCCCTATGCAGACACAAAGACTACTGAAGCTTCTTCCTCTGTGAAGTCTCAGGAATTATTTAAAAAAAAAAAAAAAAGGCATTTTCACTGCACGGCCCAAAGATCAGAACTCCAAGGTCATTTGTAGTGTATCCCCCTCAGGGCCAGTCTCCCATTACAGGGCGGTGCTGAACCCACCAGCTGCCCTGAGCACTAGGCAACAAGGGGACAGTGTCTGTTCCTTCGAGTAAACATCACTGATTAGCAAATACAGAATCACAGAATGGTCAGGGTTGGAAGAGACCTCTGGAGATCATCTAGTCCAACCCCCCCACCAGAGCAGGGGCACCTACAACAGGTTGCACAGGACAGCGTCCAGGTGGGTTTTGAATGTCTCCAGAGTGGGAGACTCCACCACCTCTCTGGGCAG